TCTCGCTGAGTTCAACACGGCCATCATCGGGGTGACCTTGAGGTCACTTGAAAAATATTTGGATTTTGTAGAGATTTGAGGGCATTTTTGAAATATATTGTGAACCCCTCCGGTTGAGATAAGCAATCAACACGGCCATCATCGGGGAATTTTGGGGTTATTTCTCTTTATAGATTGAATCTTGTCAACTCAGATAAGCTATTGACTGAGGATCGGGTTTCATAGGCTTCGTGCCTTTGTTTATGAATTTTCTTGATTTTAGGCCTTGAAGGTCGAATATGAATGCATTAAAATAAATATTCCGATCACATTCGTGACCGTATATTTATCTGAGTGTTTGAACCCTGTCTACTCCTATTCATCTACTTAGGAGAATCAGGTTTTGTAGGCTTCATGCCTTTTGTTTAGTAAATTCTTTTGATTGTAGTCTTTGAAGACCTAATATGAATGTATTGAAACAAATACATCGGTCCCCACAACCGTGTATCTGTTTAAATGTTCGAACCCTGTCGACTTCTATTGGTCCGTATAAAAGGATCAGGTTCGAACTAGAATTCGCTTATCGACCCGCGCAGCATCCCTAGGCGTCACGTGTGTACCAATAACACACTTGCCGGGGCTTATGCGGGTCGCGATTGTATTTACCCCTTGTGTACCTATGTGTATATAAACTACGGTGTACCTGTGTGGGGGTACTTTAAATATCTTATAGTTGTGCAGGTAATAGCCATTTGAGTGCTCACAACTTTTCATTTGAGGGCTTGTACATGCCTTCTGTCCGCTAGCACGAGTATTGCAGATCCGGTGGCGCGCTAGTCTTGATATTGACTCCCCCCTTTCTCAATCACCGGGGAAGGATCTCTCTGAACTTTGGAGTCAACGACTACTAGTTTGTAAAGAACTCCTTTTAGGATCTTTGGTGTAGCGGACTCGTTATTTTCGGTGTTTGTAGACACCAGAACAATTTTCTTCTTAAATATAGGACTAAGAAGAGGCTTGGGGACACCAGGAAGTTTGGTTCTAATTTGTTCAAATATTTCCTCCCTTCTGCTAGGGGTGTACATTTGTACATCGAGTCGCTCTTGTACCCGAAATACTTGAAGATCTTGATCACCACTGTCGTAGGTGATATATGTACTTGTGTCCACAGTGGTTCATTGTACTTACAATACACTGTTGTTATCCACAAGTATCCATTTGCAGGGAACCGTTGTATCCACTACAACCTCCTAAAAATGTTTGTAGAAGACCCATTGCTTCTGCATCATATCCACCCTTTCACCAATCTCAGGTGGTTGACGATTGCACTTACTTGTGGGGGGTGGATCTTTGATTGCTGGTCTCCAATATTATCATCTCAATCAACAGGCATTTGTGGGGATTGTCATAGGAGTTTGTGTATTGAGGTTTTGTAGTATGCCTTAGTCACATTTGTTTACTAAGATCAATGTATTTCATCTGACATTGAGTCACTGTTGACCGCACAAATGTATTGTAGTCTGAGTTCCCTCGTGTGTGATTCAAGCTTTGTTTCTTGCATGTGTTTGAATCCAAGTTAAGTTTCATTCAAACTTGAATTCATCAAGTTCACAAGTCCCCACTTGATGTCATATAGCCTGAGTTCAAGTGCGAGTTCAACTTCTTTATTCGGATTCGGATCCAGTCCAAATCAAAGTCTTTGTTTGATGTTCTAGTCTTGTTCAAGTCCCCTACAGTCCTTTGAATTCAAGTGTATGTTCAAATTGGTTTGAGTCTGATTCCAATTTGATTTTGACATTTAAAAATCATTTAGAATTTTGTTCAGATTTAGGTCCACTAGTCCTCTGTTCTTCGTACAAGTCCTCTGCTCATTTAGTTCAATTTCTGTGCATTTATGTTCAAGTACAGGTCTTCTATATTGTTGCCCAAGAAGGTCTTCAAATTGTTCAAGTCTTTGTGCATTTCAGTGAATATTTCGGCAGCACCCCGGCATATCCCCGTTTGGGGGAAAATAGGGGAGCTGGGCCTTCCCACCACGCTACTAGAGCGTGTATGGTAGGTGTCCTTAGACACAGCGGCCGTGCAAAATTTCATCCCACCACGCTACAAGAGCGTGTATGGGGCCTTCAGCAGTACCCGTACCAGAACAGCAGTGACGTACCAGAATAGCAGTGACGTACCACCATGCTACAAGAGCGTGTATAGGGCTTTCCCACCTCGTCGTATGCGTCGCACCGGGCTCCCTCCTACCGTGCTACAAGAGCGCGTATAGGTGGTTCTCCGGTCCGCTGCAAACGTCGAGAATGGGATTTGGAACATCATACCTCTCGTAGCAGTGTCGGCGGTGTCGGTGTCGAGGTCGAGGACCGTCCCCACCACGCTACAAGAGCGTGTATAGGGCTTACCCGCCTCGCCGAATGCTTCGCACCAGACTCCCTCCTACCGTGCTACAAGAGCGCGTATAGGTGGTTCCCCGGTCCGCTGCAAACGTCGAGGACGGGATTTAAGTTAGAAATGTATACCTTGGAGACCGGCGAACTGGCAGTGTCAGCTCAAGGATCGAGGCAAGAGGGGCAAGCATTCTAATTATATTTAATTAGTAATTATAATTATCCTTAAATAATTATGTTTATTTAAAATTATCTATAATTAATTAAAGTAATTAATTATAATTATTATAATTAATTATATTTAATTTCAATTAATTAAAACTAATTAATATTAATTGTAACTTCCGATTCGACAGGAAGTGTCGTCGAAGGAGCGAAGTCGGACAACGAAGAGGGAGCCGGAGAAGCTAACGAGAGGGAGAAAGTTATGATCACAGCCGGCGAGTCTCCCGTTCTTGTCCCGATCAAAGTGTCGTAATTTCCGATCGGACAGGATGAGGAGTTCGTCGGAGTAAGCGAAGTCAAACGGCACAGAGGGAGGGAGAAAGATCAAAGAACGAGAGAGAGAGCCGGACGTGCGTAAGAGAGCCGAAGCCCTCTTCTCTTCGGCTCTTTATCGACGCAAAGAGATCGTGGGAGCGATCTCGACGTGCGACGTGCGAGTCGTGTCGAGGGTCGCGGAACGGCAGCGACGACGTGCGTCGTGCGAGTAGGTAAGTGATTCGACACTTTTTTTTGTTATACAGGTCAACAATATATATATATATATATATATAACCCTAAAAATCCTAAACCCTAATGATGCATGAATTTGTTTAGAAACTTCAAGTAGTTGCTCTTAGGTTAGTTTACATACTCCCAAGTCTTCTTGCATCATAAAAAGGAATTCTTCAGGCGTGTTTTCAAGGGCGTTTCGGATATATAAAGTGACTGGTGAGCTTGAAAAAAGGACATACAAAAATACGAAATTAACATAGTGGTTAACAACGACAAGCTGCCAGTAAGGTATTTTAATGCTAGATAACTCTACCAAGCTAACCAAACGAAACTAGAGTCTTACCAAACAAGGCTGCACAATTTCAGCAGCTGGTAATCTTAAGCTCAAAGCACCCAGACACAAAAATAGCGGTATGGTTATTTACCGAAGAAGCTAGCTTTGAGTAAGGAGGAAAATTTAGGATTTATTACAATTATTTTATCTTAAGTTAGGATTTTAAATTTATTAAATTAATTTTATGCTCAGAAATCCTTTTGGATAATTTAAGGGTAGATTTGATTTCAATTGTATGTGTAACACTATTTTTACTGATGGGCCCCCCCTAGGGAGAGTTATGCCTTGCAATGGAACAATTGAATGATGGGATGATTTATGTTCAACGTTGACAACAAGATTAGATATTTCCTACTTCATTTAGAGAGTTGTATATTGGGAATTATTGCCCGCTGTATATATGTCGTAATTAACTCAAGCAAGCATGACGAGAAGGATGTTCAAACGATGTGACGTGCATACATGCAAATTCAAAATACATAAGCAATGATCAATTGACTCGACATTGCACAAAGTGAGTTCGAAACGCCTGAGTGCGACCCAAACAACTTGAACATCATTTGCTAGTGAAATGGATCGCACCAATGTGTTTAGGATGCTGGATTTATCAAAGAAAATACTTACAAGTGGCATGATCAAGAAAGAAAATACTTACAAGTGGCTTGATCAAGAGACAAAATACTACGGTCTACGGACACAATGTTACGCAAAAATCATGCAGACGATTACAAAAAAGAGTGCATCGTTGACTTCGAAATATCGAAAATACCTAAGAGGGATCTCTCACAATCGATTCTAGAGAACGCAGTCGAAAGTATGGCTTACGGATGCGAAGTTGAGTGAAGTTGTCCAAACGTTGTTTGTTCTTAAAACGGACTTTGTCATTGCATTTGGAATGTTGAAATTACCTAAAAAAGACACCTATATTGCATGAATTTTGTGTGAGTGAAAAGGTGAAATTTGCTAATGCACGAGTCGACGGCATGCACATCGAGATGTATGAGAAATGAGGGGTTGCATAAAGATGCAAATTTATTATGTTATACAATCTTATTAATATGTTATTATTATTATTTTCAAGTATATTTAAATAATAATAATAATAATAATATCAAATATTCTCGTCTCTCCCTCCTCACCATTCCCAAACATAATGTACACCTCCCCAACCAACATTAACACCCACATGTCCCGCACAGTTGTAGCTCCACTCGAAACCGCTTGCCTAACTTTCACCCCTCTCATCTATTAATTAGTAGCTTCACGGAATCACTCCTCTCTCCTCTATTAATCAGTAGCTTCTCGGAGTCACGATCTCCCTTCTCTTAGACTTGCACACTTTAGCCCCGACCTGCCTACAAAAACTCCTATATAATTTCGTCTAAGGTCAACCTCACGCTCACACATTCCCACCTAAACTTAGCCACCGACCAACATTTAAACTACCATTGACAATCCCATCCAAGCCAAACCTCCAACCATTGCTTGAACCGACCCACCAAAGCCCTCACCAGCTCTCGATGCCTAACCCAACCGTTATAGTGTCCCTGCCCCCTAGAAAGGTATATCCTTGAAATCTCAAAATAAGTACTCATGCACAATGTTCTAACATAACGAGGAAATTGGATTTTTTGCTCATGCAGGTGATCAAAACCCCACGTGCTTTTGACATATGTTGAGATGTCTTTTATTTTCCAGGGAAAAATTTTAGAAGATAGATTAGTTTGTAGAGAAGACTATCCAAATATTTCACTTTCATATTGTGAGCACTTTCTGATATAGTTCTAGAGTTTCCATAGAAGCAATCCATTATAATTAATTACCCCTCTTAGTGATGAGAGAGAGAAAGCTTTTGATTAAGGTTAGTCATTAGAAGCTAAATAGTTAGCATATAGTTGTAGTAATTTAATTTACTAATGAAAATTTATTACCATAAACTTAAAATACAAGGTGATAAAGAGTTTTATTTTTATCAACGTATTAGTAAAACCGAAGTTAGAGAGACTTTAACGAAAATAAAGTGTGGAAAAGCTATTGGCCCCGATGATATTACAATATAGGCGTGAAAATGCTTAGGAGATGAAGGAATTTCTTGGCTTACTAAACTTTTTAATACTATTTGGAAGACTAAAAAGATGTTAGATGAGTAGAGAATGAATGTGTTGATTCTTATTTTTAAGAATAAAGGCGATGCACAAGATTGTGCGAATTATCAAGGATTTATAAAGGCGATGCACAAGATTAATGTGCCATCTTTAAAACTATAGGAGAGAGTTATGTAGCATAAGTTGCGGTGTGATACTAATGTTTCTCAAAATCAATTTAGGTTCATAATGAGCATGTCTACTATGGAAGCTATACATTTATTAAGAGGTTTGATGGAGAAGTATAGATAGAATAAGAAGGATCTACAAATGATATTTATTGATTTAGAGAAAG